TGTTTCTAGTGATGCAGCATCCTTGTTTGCATGCTCCAAGTAGCATTTGAAAGCAGCTCGCTGTCTTTCTCGTCTTAGCCCCCTGTTGGTGCTGGGCAAGCATGAATGCAGAAACAGTCTCAAGGTGGAAATCTGAGCACAGCCCCCCGAGTGAACCCCAAGCCGCACCGAGTGGCACCTGTGGGTTTGCGGATTCATTTGATGGGGGAGTTTCCATTTTGATGCATCTGGAAAAACAGCTCGTTTGGGAATTAATCCTCCCTTTCTCCAACAACTCCAAGTAGAGCTCATTGGCAATACAAGTTAAAATACTTCCAGTTGTGATAGCACTAAATATATTAAAGGCCCAGGATATGTGAATCTTAGAAGGCATCTGGTTCCAAGATCAGCCATCTTCGTGAGCAATGAACAGCTCCAGGGGCTGGGAGCATGGGGCTGGCCCCTTTGTAGGATGGCCTGGTGTGCCCTTCAGGAAACCTTTCTGTGACATTGCTCCACTCAGGGAGGCTTCCTGAGGCTTCCTGTGTCGGTACCATGGCTCTGACTTGAAGGTCAACATTTTCAGCCCTTGGACTCTCCCTTACATGGCTTCCTTACGGCATCTAGGCAAGAAGCCTGCTCTCGGCCCACGGTGCCTCCCCACGGCAAGGCCGCCTTTCTGGGCCCCGCGCTCCATGTGTCGAGGAGGAGTTCTAGGCCTGGCTCACCTCTCCCTGCCACACCCCACATACCCGTGTCTGTCACATACCCGAACTGTCTGTCCCTGGTGACCTGAGGGCTGGAACACCTTTAATCTTGCCAGTTGGTCGGACCGTGATCAACAGAGGGTGACTGTGCCATCAGCTCAGACCTCTCCCCTGACCTCCAAACCCGGACTGATCGGCCTTCGCCCCATGAATGTCTGACAAGCACAGCACATTTTCTCAGTCCAAATTCGGGCTCATCTTTACTCCAGACAGGTGGTCTCCCCTCCTGTATTTCCTGTCTGGTGAAGGACTTTTTACCCCGAGTCTCTTCCCTCCCCGTTGCACAGGGCTCAGGCGGTCAGGGGACCCGAGTGGCGTCCTTCCTCCCTGCCTCCCGGCTTACACGCAGCAACGTTTCCCACCTGGTCTCAGACTCCAAGCTCTCGCCTTTTTGATTGCTCATTCACACGGGAGCTGGAATGGCCTTTCTGGTTAAGTCCTATTTCCTTGTGCCCTCGTATTTCGGGTAGGATTAGGTACATGCAGGCATCCGATCATGTTACTCCCTCGCCTAATACCTGTCGCTGCTTCAGGTCCAAATGCTCAGCAGAGAGGCCACAGCCTTCCATGATCTGATGCCCATCGTCCCTCCAGGCTCAGCTCTGGTCACAGAAGCCCCAAGAAGCCCTAGCGCCCCTGCTCTGGCACTTCCCCGAGTGTGCGTGTTGCTGACACCTTGCTCGGTCACAAACTCTCAGAGTGGTAAAGCAGGTGACCTGAGAAGCTTCTGTAGAACTTAGTGGCACATTCGGGCCCTCGGGCGTTCCTGTTCCACCCACGCAGCTCCGCTTCCAAATCCGTTCGCAGTTCTCTATCCTAGTCCTCCTCCTGCACGGACAGCCCTGCGTCTTGCAGGTGCAGCCTGCAGCCTGCACGCATGGCCCTCCTGCGTCCACGGCCTTGCCGAGGGCTGCAGTTAGGGCCCCCATAGCAGGGGGACACCTCCTGGGGCTCCTCCATCCATGTTTAAGATCCATCGCTAGCTTGCGAGGGAAACGGCCCCGACTGACCGATGGTTTTGGAGCCTCTCCTGCGGGGAGCCTCTCCTCCCGGGGCTTTCCCTTCCTGGCCGGTTGTACTTGTGCCCACGCCACCCATACACAGAGCGGCACCTGCAGCTGGCAGGGGCGACTTTTAGAATTCGAGTCCAACGAATTGGAGCAGCCCCTGAGTGTCCGAGTGTCGTTGATGACACCACCCAGGGACAGAAGTGGTAGCTGTAGCCTGTTGCAAGCCCTCCAGGTCTGTATCTGGCTGTCAGTGTTAAGGTGAACTTGACTTCATAACAAACTGGAGCTAAGTCCTTCTCGGCCTCGGCCGCCCTGCGGCAGGGTAGCTCAGCACAGAGACGCGGAGGCAGCGGAAGCCGTGCTGCCTTCCGGGGTGAGCCTGTGGGGGTGCACCTGCCCCGCGGCGAGGGTCCCCACGGGCCCTCCTCGGGAGTCACGGCTGTAATCCAAGTCCTTGTGTGAGTCAGTTCCTTTCAGAAAAAGAGGTTTTGAGTATCTACTCTGCGCTGGGCTAAAACTCAATTAGATATAAAGGTGATTAACAAAAAGCAAACCCGTGTCTAAAGCAGAGTTTTTCGGCCTTGGCAGCGTCGATGTTTTAGGCCGGATAATTCTCTTTTGGGGGGGACTGGCCTGTGCGCTGAACATGGTTAGCAGCATCCCAGGCCTCTGGCCATGAGAAGCCAGTAGCACCACCCCCAGATGCGACAACCAGAAATGTCTCCAGACATTACAAATGTCCTCTGGGGGCAAAATGTCCCCAGGGGGGTGAAAACAGCTAGAAGGAAAGAAAAACATAGACACCATACAATGCGAAAATGCTACAAACAGAATGCTTGAACGGAATGCAGCAGAAGCTTGCCGGGGCGCGGAGAAGTTGGGCGGCGGGCAGTGTTGCGGGTGGTCTCCCCAGTTCTGCAGGAGGAAGAATCTGGGAGGCTGGAGGGAGGGCAAAGGTCCACCAGAGAGAGAGGAGCTGGGGGGCAGAGACACAGCCGCCCCCGGGGAGCTGCAGGGCCTGAGGGACTGGAGCATTGGGGTGTGCAAGGAACAACTTCAGGAGTGGATGGGTGGGCTGGGGGGCGAGGGGAGTGGCCGGAGCAACCTTGGCTCTGATGAAGATCACCTTGGGCCGAGTGTGGAAGGAGGGTGGGGGAAGGACCTGAAGGAGAGGGTGGGCTTTAGAACCTGCCGGGTTTGAGTCTCTGCATAGGGCAGGTTACTTAACCTCTGTTTCCTCATCCGAAAATGGACATAACAGGGGCTGCAATGAGTTACTACATCAGTACAGGTGCCAGGAACGGCACACCTTGTTCACAGTGAGCTCAGTAAATGTCAAAGGCACCATTACTAGCAGAAGTCATCAGAAGCGAGCTAGGCTCCCTGGCGTGGGGGCTGGGCGAAGGTGGCAGACCGGAGAGAGACCTAGGGATAGGATTAGCCGGACCTGGTACTTTGAGGGGTGTAGAGAACGGGGAGGCCGATGGTGAGTAATCGAATCTTCGTAACAGTCCTGCGAGGTAGGTGCTGTCATGGCCATGACTTTCCAGACGAGGAAGCAGAGGCACGCAGTGTCACTCGATCGTTGGGTCTCCCCAGTGGGCCGCAAGCTCTCTGGGATGAGGACTTCAGCCCCGTTCATCCTCACGTCACCGGCGGCGGGCGGGGACCTGGCACACAGCGTGCCTGGTGAATGAAACCGCAACCGCCTTCTCTCTCGAAGCCTTTTTTTTATTACTCGATTAGATAATCAAGTCTCATTAATGTTGAATTTATTGGCTGTCCTCATGAAAGGGTCAGTTATTATTGCTTTTCAGTTAATTTCGTCACAGGGCAAATAGAATGATACAGAGTTTAGCAAAAAAGCATCTGTTTGAAAAGATAGAAAACATTCTGAAAAAGGGGATGTTGGTGAATTTTATCTGTGGAATTATGAATTAGCTAATCTCACTAATTTTTAAATATTTTCTTTTATGCATATTATGCTAATATCTTCATATGGCCGTGTTCTTATTTGACTCACTGGATTCATTATCTTGGATTTTCGGTCTTCTTAATGGGTTAAGTGAGTAAGTTAGTTGGCATTCTAAACTTGTTATTTAAACCAGTACCAGGAGTAGGTAATTCCTTTAATTTAAAAAAAAAAAAATCAAAGGTTAAAAATATAAAAACATACATGGTCATGAGTCATTTAAAGGCTGGATTTGATGTCTCCAAGGCGGGGGTCCCCATGGTCTGTAAACTGCAGAGAGAGAGGGGCAGGGGCATCAGCCCAGGACGATCTATCAAGTCAAGGGCTCTAGGGTGCCCGCTTTGTGAAGTCAGCATTCATGCATCCATTCCTTCATTCAACAAACGGTGGTTGGAGTACCTCGTATGTCCAAGTGCTGGAGCAGGTGCTAGGGACACCAAGGTGTCTTATCTCTGGCCCTTATGGAACCCAGTGTTTGCCGAATGGGAAAGACACAGAAATAATTGCAAAATAATCACAGGTCCGTGTGATAAGTGCGGATAGTGACCATTCCAGAGCTGCTTGACAGCAGGGAACGGAGTGTACCACCGCCTGCCCCTCTAGGGGACGGAGTGTACCACCGCCTGCCCCTCCAGGGGGCGCTCCACAGACAGAGGCTTGCTTTCTTCGCTACTTCTTTTTCCCCTGGAGTTCTTTATGACCTATTCCAAACATTATATCATTTTACCTGCAGGTAATTCAATATCATCTCTAACAGAAAAGAGCTTTAAAAAACAAAAGGAAAACATAACCACAAGGCCTAATACTCCTCCCTTAGTATCACGTAGCACCCGTGCGGCCCACATTCATTTCTTTGTTTTCTCAAAATATCTTTGTACAGTTGATTTGAATCTCTCCAGACGATTGCAACACATAGCGTTTGGTTGTTTCTATTTTAGTCCATGTTTAATACAGTATTGCCTGTAATAGCAACTTTAAGTGCCTCTGGGAGTTTGGAGGGGGAGAACTCACCGTTTTTTATAAAGTGTCCCTTGGAGTAGAGTAGCCACGAACCAGGAATGGGCGGCTTGGGAAATGCATCAGTAGTGTATTGATTGACCTTGATTTGGGCTAATTTTTAAATCATATATGATTATGGTGGGAGAATCATGGTTGTTCACAAACCTTGCACATCTGTTGACTTTGTGCTGTTACAGTGATTTAGGATCAATGCACTGCTGTCGATGTTTAACACGGTCTGTTTTCTTCTGTTCCTCTCCCCTCGCCCCCCAGGCTTCGACCATGTTAAGAGCCTCCTTGGTGCCCGTGTAAGTAATTGCTCTCAGGAGTCATTATTGTGGAAAACAGCTATGGGTTAAACTAGAATTCAAAGTAACCTTAATAAACGTTCATCGTAATAGCCTAGCTTAGAGGAATGCCTTCGATTAGCTAGAGCTCCATGTGGACATTAAAGGAAAAACCAGTAATCATAAGTATTGTTGTTAAAGTAGAAGTATCTTTTAATGTTAATTCTATTTATTTTGGGGAGATAGCCTCAAGTGGAAAACATTTTGAATAGATCCTATAATATTCTCTAGAAATCAATTTTATCTACTACGTAGGGCAGTCAACAGTGTTGCAATGTTTGAATGTAATGTTTCCTGCTGGCTCGCACCGTGACTGGGCACAGGGTGGCTTTGTGTCTGCCTGAGCAGGTTGTCACAATAGGGGTGTCTGATGCGTACGGACTCCATCAGCCATGTGTGTTGCAATGGTGAGGAAGTTGGGAACCTTTGGCCTGGACATGGGGACTAGGTTGGGTTCTGGGGACTCTCCGAGCCAGGTTTGGGGGTGGGGCTGTGAGATTACTTGGACACCTGAGGTGGACGCGACTTTCCTCCTCCCTTGGTCCTGCCCCGCACTTTATTCTCTGGACGGTGGCCATGTAATGTAGTGCATATGAGCACAAACCGCTGGGGTCAAAATCCAGCCTCTGCCACCAGCTCTGTGACTTTGGACTTTTATGTAACTTCTCTGAGCCTCACTTGTAGAATGAGAACAATGATAATAACTATATTATAGGACCGTTGTAAAGGTAAAAATGAGTTAATGTGTAAAAAGCACCTAGCACAGTGGTGGGAATTTGATAAACTCTCTGGGCGTTTGCTCATGTTCTTCGCAGTGACATAAGAGGCAAGGTCACCTGCAGAGGGGGAGTGAAGGGAGGTAGTTGTTGGGGGTAGGGTTCAGAGGACGAAGGAGAAGGCATGACACCGTCTTCCTGGACAGCGGGGGGGTGGCCGGGCCACAGAAATGCAGGGCCGTCGAGCAGCTTAGGTGGCAGTAAATTTGGTTGGTAGTATTGCCATTATTGGCAAGTAAAAATGGCCCAAATATGACAGTATTTCTTCCCTACCCAGAAGCACCTGAGCTATAGAGCGTTATCAGACTTGGCATTACAAGTGGAACTTTTTTTGACCTAGAACGAGAGCCAGTTTAAATTTTAAATTAAAAACAGTTTTTAAATTTTGAAATACTTCCAGGGCAGCAAAAACAGTCCAAAGAATTTCCCTATACCCGTCACCCAGGTTCCCCAGTGTTAATAATTTACACGAGCCCAGGGCGGTTATCAAAGTCAGAAACTTAGCGCTGATACGGGGCCGTCTAATCTGTGGACGTCATTCCCGTTTTTACCAGTTGTTCTAGTGTGTCCTTCGTCCAATCCAGAATTCCACCCAGGATGCTGTGTCAGTTTAGTTATCATGTCTGTGTTTCCTTTCGTTTGAAATCGTTCTTCAGTCCTTGTCTTTCATGGTCTTGACACTTTTGAAGAACATGGGCCAATTATTTATCATTGGAATTTTAAGAAGTGTCTGTATTAGTGTTTAAACTCGCAGTAGTATCTGCCTCAGGGAGAAAGGTGTCGAAATGATCGGTGTGCCCATGTGCGCGGGTTTGCCATTTGATAGATAAATTAGAAGACGCTCCTCCCCGGGGTGGTCACTGAGGTCTTGTTTGTTGTCCTCTTTTCTGGCCTTTTCTTCCGTGCCTTGTAAAAGGATCTCATTTTGTCTTTTAAAAACTAACATTCAAAAAGCTGGTGTGTGATTTTTCCTATGTAATACATGCTCGTTATAGAGAATTTGAATGCTATAGAAACATATGAAGAAGGAAATTTAAAGTACCCAAATTCCTGCCTCCTAAGGGTGTCATCTCAGTTTCTCCTTCACCTTTAAAATCAAATGGAGCCCTCCATCCTGAGTCTTTTCACCCATTCTTCAGGAATCTGCATTTATTATTGTGCAGCAAGTACTGATATTCTCTACACAATATTAGGAGGACCATTTTTTTTGTTTTGTTTTTAGTTTATTTTGAAACAATCGTAGATTCACAGGAAGTTGCGTTCTCAGCCTACCCAGTGCTGACACGCTGCACACATGGCCGTGGTGCTCAGTGCTGACACGCTGCACACGTGGCCGTGGTACAGCAGAACGAGGGAAGCAGCATTAACACAGCACTGTTCACTGGACCACAGGCCTCATTCCATTTTCATCAGGCTCCATACACTCCAGTCTCCTAGTCAACAAAACAAAATGTGAAGATGCCCGTTTTAGTGACAAGGAATCTGAGGTGGTTCCTTGTGCTTCGGGCCGGCCAAAGGCAGGCGTTGGGTCGTTCTGCAGGGCGTGGGGTCTCGGCACAGAGATCTCTCCTAACTGAAGCTGGGCTTCCCCTGAGGTCTTCTGCTTGGAGTCCTCTCAAGGGGGGTTTGAAAATTGTCCCACCGACTTAACACCAGTCTCCCAGGTTATGTCCCCCACGCCTTCTGCCCGCTGTCTGCCTCTCGGAGGGTGGCCTGTGCCTCTACTGTTCACATCCGTTTCCTGACCCCCGGTCTGCCTTTGGAGCAGCCCAGTCCAGTCCCTCAGGCCTGCGAGAGACAGTGGCTTCAGGCTTCTGGGCGGAACTGTTGGGCCGGCTTCGCTCAGGATTCTAAACAGAATTTGGGCAGAAAGTGACGGCGCCTGCAAGGTGACTTCGGCCTTCGCGTGGAGCCCTGGGCCGATGTGGGTGCAGTGGCTTCTAGGCCTGCGTGGGCAGGGCGTGCTCGCTTCGGGAGAGTGCTGTACCGAACCCTAGTTCACGGAACAGGAAAGGCAGAGCTGAGCGAGCAGAAGCGGGGGAGGTGGGGTGCCGGGAGCCCAGCGTTCTCTGTGGGAGCCTGGTCTTAGCCCAAGGCGCACAGAGGCGACGGCTGGGCCTCTGCCGGTCCATTCTGCCAGAGCAGCTCTAGGTCAGGGGCCACGATGCTCACAAGGTGTAATGACCTGGCTCTTCTGCCCTCTTCTTTCTCTTGGAACTCGTGTTGCTGAGTAGGAAATCGAAGGATGTCCCGTTACTGCCCTCCTTGGATTATGAGAAACTGAAGAAGGATCTGATTTGGGGGAGCGACCGCTTGAAAGCCTTCCTGTTGCAGGCTCTGCGCTGGGTGCGTACCTTTCCCTTGACGTTAAAAAAAAAGACCATGCTGGTTTCACTCGGCTGCCTACCTCGCTGGTATCCTTTATCCTGTCTGCTAAAAATCTTCCTTCCTACTCTACTGCTTGCTGACACCAGGAGCTAAAGTTAAAAACCTCAGAAGACGGATTTGTCCCTTTTAAAAAAAAAAAAAAAACTCTGTTAATGTCACCTGTGCCATTGCCTTCACGTGGTAATGTCACACAAGCGGTTTCGAGGCCCTGGAGACTCCCCCTTCTGGCCCTTTCTGGGCACGAGCCATATCCACGGCAAGTGGAGTCGGGTGTTGGAGCCACCCCCACAGGACAGCTCCACGAAGCCCTCTGCATTCGGGTGTCAGCAGACGAGCCATGGCAGGGTGAAAACTTGTTAACAAGTCCGTAAGGGAAATAAAGCCTAGTCCAAACCGTTGCTTCCCTTCCCAGTCTTCAGATTAATCACGGTTAAGTCAGTGACTCTCAAGACTTTTGGTCCCAGACCAAAAGTTACTGATGACCCCAAAAAGCTTTAGTTTATATGAGTTCAAACTACCAATATTTACTGTATTAAAAATTAAAACTGAGAAAATTTAAAAAATATATTTATGAATTCGTTAAGAATGAACAATGGTAAACTCACAATGTAACATAAACAACCCATTTTTAATAAAAAATATAACTATTTTCCAAAGCAAAAAAAAAAAAAAAATCAGAAGAGTGGTATTGTTTTGCATTTTTTCAAATTTCTTTCATGTCCAGCTTAATGGGGGACATCTGGAGTCCCGTATCTGCTCCTGCATTTGTCACAGTATTCGATTTGTCACAGTATCACACTTCACATAGTCTCTGAGAGATTGACCATGAAAAAGACGAATCATAGCTTAGGAGGATTATGAAAATAACTGTGACCACACAGACTCCCCGAAAGGACCTCGGAACCCCCTCGGCTCCCCCAGACTGCACTCTGAGAGCTGCAGGTCTAAGCCAACGCCGGTTGGCTCTTTAACAGTCCATTCTAACTCACCCTGGAGTAGTGTCAAACCCCTTCACAGATCCCCAAATTTCAGGGTATGTTGGCATCTAAATGCCTTTGAGCAATTTCCCCGTCTCCAGGTAGAAAAAGGGCACCTCGCTTGCCCTTCCGATGGTTAGCGGCGCTTCCTGGATCAGGTCCTGTGGCGTGAGTGCTCTGTGGATGACGCGGCCAGGCTGTGGTCAGTGGTGAGGTCTGCTCTGGCTTCGCTGGCGTCAGTGGAGCGGAGCGGGTGGGGCGGCGTGAGTAACCTCCAGTGGCCGTCCCCGCCCTGAGCGTTCGCTTCTCTCTGCTTGAATTACCAGACTCATCTTCTTTGGCTCTTAATTCATCCACCCAGCACTTCCTGTCAGTCTATGCCGCCGAGTCTCTTGGTGAAACAGCGTATTCCTTGGCTGATAAATGACATTGTCACAGAATAATTAGGAAAAATAAACATGTCTCTTATTGATTTTCTCTGTGTCCATCCCCAGTGCCCCTACTCCAGCCCCTTCCCCCTCCCTACCTGACTTCACTTCAGTGAACTCAACAGGAGGGCGGCACCCCAAAGATGTGACACTCCTGGCACCACCCTCCTTTAACATAGTCCCCTCTCTACGGCCATGCCACCCTGAACAAGCCCGATCCCGTCTGATCTCGGAAGCTGAGCAGGGTTGGGCCTGGTTAGTATTTGGATGGGAGACCACCTAGGAAGACCAGGTGCTGTGGGCGTAAAAAATAAAAAATGAGGGATTGTAAGCTGACAAGGTCCTTGCAATCTGTGAGGTCAATCATGGGTTGCCTCGCCTAAAACAAAACAAAACAAACAAACAAAAAACGTATATAGAGTCCCCTCTCTCCTCAGGGCCTCCCTCCTGGGCCCGGTGGGTCCCGTCTGTCAGTGACAGCGGCCTCCGGAGGCCTCCACCTCTCACGTCCGGGGGCTGCCGGCCTCCCTGTCCGCTTCCCACACTGTTCTCGACACGCGCAGCTTCTCCTCGGCCAGAGCAGGGCCTGCAGTGTCAGCGACCGTTATCGAGTAAGCTTTTCCTGGACAGCAGGGACATTTACTCACGTTAGTGACATGGCTTTCTTATGTCCTAACTCACACCTGCACACAGCCGCATGCACAAGCACAAACCACTTCACGTGCTCCCCACGCACCATTTTTCGTCTAGACCTATGGGCATGAAGTAAATTCTTACACAACAGATTTAAGCCTTTTCAAAATCTACAAAATTCTACTCAGCCGCGCCCCCTCCACACACACACACACACACACACACACACACACACACACACACACACACACAGTATTGCTGTGTCAGTCCCTATAGGGTGCAGTCTGGTCGTTGGCATGGTGTTCATTCAAAGCCCTCTACAAGCTACCTTGCGCCCTACCTGTCGAGCTCAGCACAAATGCATCCTGTATTTCTACAGCTCCCTGAGCCGGCCCACACTCCCCTCACCACGCTCACGTCCCCCCGAACTCTGGCTGACGGCCCGCTCATCCTTCAGGGGCCGACGCCGATCCCCTTCCTGGATCAGGCGTTGGTGAGCTCTCCCTTATCTGCACGCTTACTGTCCAGGCACCTTGCCACTTCGCTCCCTGGAGATTTCATACGTGTAAATTGACCCCTGCCTCCCCCACGTCACCCATGTGGAAGTGCACATCGTAATTTCTTACCAGTGGACTGGTTGGCTGCTTAACTAGCCCCCCGGGATGTTACTCATTTTGTTCGCTTGAACGTGCGGTCACCGGTACTGCTGTTTAAAACATGCCCGCTCTGCGAACGTTTTCGCCACATTCAGACTTACTGATTTTGCTTTTCTTCTCTCCAGCGCTTGACCACCTCCCATCCTGGCGAGCAGAGGGAGACCGTTCTGCAGGCCTACGTCAGCAACGACCTCTTGGACTGTCACAGCCACAGCCAGGTCGGGCAGAGACGGACCCCATTTCTAGGGACTGAGCTTAGCAGATGGGGCGGGAGGGGGGCCTCCGTTTCTGCTTGTTTTCAGTTTGGTGACCGTTTTTAACGTCAGCCTTGAGCTTCTGTCAGCTACTGAGATCTGCTCTTCACCTTGGACATTGGCCCGCTTTTCACTTCCAGTAGAGTCCTGAGCGAAGGAGAACTGCTTGATTCTGCTCCAAGCTCTTTTCTGCCTTTTTTTTTTTTTTTTTTGCTCAAATTCCCAAATCTTTCCCTCATCCCCCAGCTTACTGTGAGTCCTGAAAAATCAGCATGATTTACGATGGGCAAGATAGATAAACAGATTCTGTTTTTTTTCCCCATCCGGGCCTGCTGGATTTGTATACAGCTTTGGACCAGACAGGCCTGGTGGGGAAAGCGTGGGATTTGCAGGGAGATGAGCTGGTTTCAAACCTCTTTCCGAGGTAGCCAGCTGCCTTAAGCAAGTCACTCGGTCTCGGGGAGGTCCCCGTCTCAGGGGGAGCCAGCCCCTGCCTCAGGAGGGCGTCGTGATTGCGTGTGGGCACATGCAGTGAACACTTAACCCAGGGCCCAGCACGGGGCCCAGGACACGGCTGTTCACCCCGCTCCCCACCTTCCTTACCTGCTGTTGGCCCCAGGCTTCGCTGGGCAGGAGGATCGAGATCTGGCATGTATAATGCAGACCCTGCGTCTCATTATTTCAGCTGAGTATTTACCCCAAATGTTCTAAATACTTCTCTCCCTGTTGTTGAGCTTCCCTGTGGGCACCGAGCGGGGCGTCAGTGCCTTTTGGGTCACGGATGAGACTGCTCCCTGCCAGAGTGGATTCAGGTTGACCCGCTGTGCGCCCGGGTGGAAACAGTCCTGAGTGGCCGGTTTAGTCTCTGAACGTAGTCTTACTGCTCCTGTAAAAAAGTTGTGTTAATTTTGAAAAATAGTCTCTCAAATTCTTGACTTCTTTTCTTTTTTTTTTTCTGTTTGTATTTGTGATGGCATTGAAGCCAGCAGCTGGATAATATATTGCGTGACTTAGAAACTCACATTCAAAGAGTAAATTCAATACCGATTCTTTCTGAAATATTTATCTCATTGACTCTAAGATACACGCTCCCCATTTTAGCATCTCTGAAATCAGAATATGTCTTGCAGTCAGTGTTTATAATATAATTTAATTGGCACTGTTTTCTTCTTTCTTGGTTGTGTATAAAAAATAATGTTCCTCTAATGAAAGGTAGCTTAGGTTTTGTGATATGTATTTGTCAAAATGCTCTAATCTCTATAACCATTGAAGAAGTCATTTCTTCCTCAAGTCATTATTTTTCATTGCTGTGGTTTATTTGTTTAATAAGGAATGACCTTGAATTATCTTAAGAGAATCTGCAAAGCAGGCAGACTCCTTGTGTAACATGGATGCTGTGTCACCATGACACCAAAATAAATTGGCCTTTCCAGTCAGGAAATTGAGCTCGTTGCTGAGTTCACCTAGCCGAGTGGTTCTCAGAGTTACAGCTTTAGCGCCAGAGAGCTCACTAACACACGGACGCCTGCTCCCTGCATTTTTCATTCACTGGGTCTAGGGGCCTGAGAATTAGCATTGCCAACAAGTTTTCAGGGGACGCCGATACTGCTGGTCCCTGACTACTCTTTGAGAATCACTGTTTTAGAATCAAATCTAATCAAATTGCAGTGAATTGAGCGTTTTAGTGTTACTGATCATTTTTATGTCGGGCTGTTGGCGGTGCTGTGATAACAAATTTTCCACATTGGACAGTCTTGCCTATGTAGCATAATATATGCACTTAGGAAGGCACGGTTCCTTAAATCTAAGGAATTTCGCCTTATGCGGAACCACGTTTTCGGTTGTGAGAAGTATCCCTCGCACAGATGAGTGTAGAAATCATACACGACCGGTTGAAAGAGTAATAATAAAACAAATAGCAATTTGTCTAAACAGCTCGGACTAAGAAACAGAAACTTGCCAGTAACTCGGGGGCTTCTAGGTTGCACCCCCTTTCCTTCCGTCATCCTGACTATTTTTTATTTGGGGTAAAGTACACGTAAAATCAAATATACCGCCCCAGCCACGTTTAGGTGTACGGTCCAGGCATGCTGGGCACAGTCGCGTTGTCGTGCCACAGGTCCCCAGACTCCTGTTCATCTTGCACAACGGACACTGCAGTCACCACGCAGTGTCTTTCTTTCCGCCTCTCTGACTTCAGCTACCCTAGGTACCTCCCATAAGTGCAGTCGTGCAATATTTTGGTGACTGGGTTTATTTCTCTTAGCTTAATGTCCTTAAAGTTATCTGTGTCGTGGTACGTGTCAGAATGGTCTTCCTTTTTAAGGCTGGATAACATTCCGTTATCTGTGTCTCCCACAGCTTGTTATCCACTCGCCCGTCAATGAGCACTGCTTGCGTCCCTCTGCCTTTCGGTTGCCGTGAATAAAGCTGCATCTGACAGGGCCGTACACATCCTGACTTTTCTCTGAGTCAGTTCCTTGCTTTTCTTTATAGTTTCCCCAGTTGTGCATGGGCCCTGAGTGATGCAGTGTTTACTGAGTAGCAAGCACAAACCCTGTTCTGCATGAAAAGGACACTGTCCCCATCCGCGTCGATGAAGGCACCTAGGAGATGACGTGAACAAAATCACTGGCTCCTCATTGGACATAGCTTCCCTGGGCTAGTGATCCCCTCCAGGACATTGGTAGTCAAGGCCAGGAGAGGGTCCTGGGACACACAGGGCATCTGGCAGGGCTGAAACGTCGGCCAGGTACCAGTTATTGGGCAGCAATATGTATGTAGGGTCGAGGGGAGTGGTGAGCTGCTCTGTAATTTTGGTTTTTAGGCTCATCTGGTATGAGAACTTTAGTTCTCAGGAGTCGAGCGCACGAGAACACTTCCGTCGGGGGGAAGACTGCCCACAGCTGACCCGCACAGCAGGGCGTGGGGCGGGGAGCTGGAACCTCATCGGCACATGTCAAAGCTATGCAAGTACAGATAAAAGTGTGGGCTCCCCTCAGCCACGAATTTTGTACTCTGTTTAAATATGTTACACGGTTTACCTCTTTGGAACACTGGCAGTATTTACTGAAAGTGCCTACTCTGTGTCCTAGCAAAACCACCCCGAAGCGTAACCCCAACAGACCTGTGCCCCTGTGCTCAGTAAAGATGCGCAGGAATGTTCACAGCAGCACCGCTCACAGCAACCAAGACGCTGGCCGTAACCCAAATGTCCGTCAGCAATAGAATGGATAAATCACCTGTGTGTGATGTGTTTGTAAAATGGGATACATTGAACAATGAGAAAAAACACACAATACGCAACATGGGCGAATCTCACAAACGTAGTGTTAAATGAAAAAGTCGGATTTGAAAACACACGGCATGATTTCACTTACAAAAGAACTCAGAGACAGACAAAACTAACCTGTGGTGTTAGAAGCCAGGACAGATCTTGCCCAGGGTAAGGAAGGGGACCCTAAAAAGGCTTGCGGGGCCCGGAATGTTGTTTCTTCATCTGGTTACTGGTCACCTGCATGTTCACTCTGTGAAAACTCATTGAGCTGTGCACTTACAATCGGTGTAGTTTTCTGTATGGACGCTGTATCCAGTGAACATTTTACCTGAATAAAGACGACGCTGTGACATTAGGCATCTTGGGGACAACAGCCTTCAATTGATCACTGTCTTGAGTCCGTGCAGTTCAGTCCGGGCTGGGACCCTCTGCATCTGGTGCACAGCGGCCATGCAGACATCTCTCTTCACCAGACTTCTGCGGATTCCCTTTGCCCCGCTCCTGAATTGGCTGTTTGCAGGGTCCCCATGGTTTCCTTTCTTGCCGTATT